TGCCTGTAATCCCAGCACTTTGGGAGACCAAGGCAGAAGGATTGCTTGAGCCCAGGAATTCAAGACCAGCCTGAACAATATAGTGATACCTCATCTCTATAAAAATTTTTTTAAATTAGCTGGGTGTGGTAATGCACACCTGTAGTCCCAGCTACTCAAGAAACCGAAGTGAGAAGATCACTTTGTTACCCATGGAGGGTGTCAACTACAAGTTGTCCATGCTCTTGGCAATCTGAACAAAGAATTGGACAAAATGCACAAATAAAGCAATGAAAGTAGAGCACAACGAAAGAAGCAATAAACGTTCAGATTTATTGAAATGAAACTACACCCCATGGAGTGAGTGTGGGCTCCAGTGAGCAGCCCAAGAGCACCGGTTACAAAATCTTCTGGGGTTCCAGTACCCTTTAGAGGTTTCCCAGTGGTTACACACTATGTAAATGAAGACTTGGCCCACAACCAATTGGAGGCTGAAGTGAAGTTACACCTTATGCAAATGAAGATGTGACCTACAACCAATCAGAGACTGAAGTGAAGTTACACCCTGTGCAAATGAAGACTTGGTCTGTGACCAATCCGAAGCTGAAGTGAAGGCTCCCTGTCTCCAGGCCCTACTGAGGAGAATACTGCCTCAACTTGAGCCCAGGAGGTCAAGGCTATAGTAAGCTGCAATTGTACCATGGCACTCTAGTCTGGGTTACAGAGTAAAACCCTGCCTTAAAAAATAAATAAATAAAACCTGACCACGAAAACTCCATAATGAATTCAAATTTAAAATTTCTGTAATCTGTTTTTTACCTAATCTAAAAACATTGTAGCCTCTTATGCCAGCCACTATACTAACCATACACTAAACATTCCCATCAGAGCTTTGAGCCCCAATCCATTTATTTCTCTACTGATTTGCTAAAAGAGTCAGTATCTACTTGAACTATTATAGTGCTACAGAGCTCACTATTTCTTGGGACAATTCATTGTCAAGATTATTAGAAAAGTGTTCTGGTTGTTTTGCTTTGTTTCGTTTTTATTTTTTTGAGGAGAGCTTATCTTTCCTTCGGCTTCTACTGATTATCTTGTCCTCTGGAGCAGTGTTCTCTTTTTTCTACCTTACTCTCTAATTGCCTAAGGTAACCATCAAGTCTTCAAGGTCTTCTTCCCTCTTCCAAACTAAGCATCAGCAAATTCAACTATTCTCCTGTGAAGTGGCTTCCAGGGGTATCTCCTTCCTGATCACTCCCTAACCAGTCTGGCTCCATGGATTCAGGCACCAACGGTGACTCTAGATGCTAAGCATCTTCCTGCCTGAAGTGTCTTTATCACACTGGACTGACTCACCTACCCACTGCCCCTATTTCTCCTTCTCACCACAGCTCAGGAAGCCCATTGTGTTGTCTGTGACGCTCTGTACCTGCTTCTGAGAAGCAATGATACTGTGTCTGACATCGGAAGATTCTACAGAGTCAGGGATTCAGCTAGGACTGAGCTCAGGGAAATAATAGCCACGAGTAGGGGCCCTTCTTTGCCTGATCCTGTCACACTCTTCCGTTTTCATTTCAATTTGTTAAAGGCATGAAGATGTCATCCAACCATAGTTCCATTTAGAGGTTCCTCTATGCAGCAAAACTCTGAGAAGTTTTACTGAAAAGGAGAAGGCAAAGGAGAAGAGAGGAGCAGAAACAGAATGGTCGGTGAGTGACAAGAGTGCAGAGACAACTAAAGAGCCAACCAGAGGAAAAAAAGATGATTAATCAGTGTGGTGAAAGGTGCTGTGTAAAGGGGCAGGGAACAAAATTCACACATCTCAAGGTCAGTGACGGGGGAGTGGGGAAGGGAGAATGAGGACAAAATGACCAAAGCCGCAGAAGGCTTATGTGAGCTCATGAGCACATAACTGGCTTCTCTAATAAGGGAGGAGTGGGGTCAGCTTAACTTAGAGTGCCTTGTAAGCTTGCAAAGAAGCATTTCAGTAAGAGCTGGTCACTGCCTCGGCCAGTCAAAACAGGACGGACAGGAGGAACACCATTCTGTTTGTTTTTCGGAGAGAATTGTTAGAATTTACAGAATGCTGGCCAGGTGCAGTGGCTCATGCCTGTAATCCCAGCACTTTGGGAGGCTGAGCTGGGTGGATTGCGTGAGTCCAGGAGTTTGAAACCAGCCTGGGCAACACGATGAGACCCTATCTTTCCTGAAAATTAAAAAAAAAAATTAGCTGGGCATGGTGGCATGCACCTGTAGTCCCAGCTACTCAGGAGGCTGAGGTGGGTGAATAACCTGAGCCCGGGAAGTCAAGGCTGTAGTGAACCATGATCACACCACTGCAGTCCAGCGTGGGTGACAGGAGTGAGACTCTGTCTAAAAAAAAAAACCTTACAGAATGCTATACGAGCTCATCGGGGTCAATGAAATTATCTCTCTTTTTCTTTTTTTTTGAGACAGAGTCTCACTCCTGTCACCCAGGCTGGAGTGCAGTGGCACAATCTCAGCTTACTGCAAACCCCGCCTCCTGGGTTTAAGTGATTCTCCTGCCTCAGTCTCCCAAGTAGCTGGGATTACAGACACCGCCATCATACCCAGCTAATTTTTATATTTTTAGTAGAGACAGGGTTTCATCATGTTGGCCAGGCTGGTCTCAAACTCCTGACTTCAGGTGATCCACCTGCCCTGGCCTCCCAAAGTTCTGGGATTACAGGCATGAGCCCCCACGCCCGGTCTGTGTCAATGAAATTATCAGATATCACTCTCCTGCACTCTGCGGACAAGAGAGTGGTAATGGACGATGTGGCTTATTTTTGTGCTCTGTGTGTGTGTGTGTGTGTGTGTGTGTGTATGTGTGTGTGTGTGTGTGTGAGAGAGAGAGAGAGAGAGAGAGAGAGAGAGAGAGAGAAACACAGGGAGGGTGGGTAAACTGGAGGAATAAAGCCCCATACTTGAATGTTATTTCCCTTGGGAAGGGATACAAATGATTCCTCTGGCCCCTCAGAGTGGGGAACAGACAGAAACAGGGCTGTGATTCCAGAGGTCATGAGCCTTAGATGAGCTCTCTGAGTAAGGAGTGAGACTGAGACTAAAATCCAGGCTGCAACCCACCCGTGTTGCTTCCTTAAGGAAATCCATGCCCTCTGGAAGCCTCTTCCCAGGGGAGCCCCCTGAGGTGCCCCTCACTCACGTAGTTCTGAGCCGCAGAGGAACCTTTGCCACTCCACGGAAACTTGGATTCCGGAATAAAAAGAGTGAGAACAGGCGGAGCCACTGAGCTCAAACTGTAACCAGAGATCCGGTTTTTTTTTGACCTCCTTTGACAACAGGTGGAGCCACTGAGCTGAAACTGTGACAAGAGATCTGTTTTTTTTTGTTTGTTTGTTTGTTTTTTTGAGGTGGAGTCTTGCTCTGTCACCCCGGGCAATGGTACAATCTCAGCTCACCGCAACCTCCGCCTCCCAGCTTCAGGTAACTCTCCTGCCTCAGCCTCCCGAGTAGCTGGGATTACAGGTGCACAACACCACACCCAGCTAATTTTTGTATTTATAGTAGAGACAGGGTTTCACCATGTTGGTCAGTGTTGGTCAGGATGGTCTTGAACCCCTGACCTCAGGTGATCTGCTTGCCTCGGCTTCCCAAAGTGCTGAGATTATAGACGTGAGCCACCGCACCCAGCAGAGATTTTTTTTTTTTTTTTCAAACTGCAGCCCATGGACCTGCAGTACCCACATCCTCTGGAGCTTGTAGAAATGCAGAATCACAGGCCTGCCCCACACCTATGGAATCAGAATCTGCATTTTAACAAGCTCCCTGGGCGATTCATATGCACCTTATAGCTTGCGACACATAAACCTTACCTATCCATTATACAAGACCCCTTGCTCTGAGACCAGGAAAAGGTCACTTTGCATCCTATAAACTGGTTCATCCTCCACTCCACACGGAGCCCCAAATCCACAGGTCAGTTCCTAGATGGCCCATTCCAGTTTAATTAATTATTGATCCATGATCTTGGATGGTGAGTGTCACTGTTACGGGTTGACTGGTGTCCCTGAAAAATTCACATATTGAAGTCTTAGCCCCCAGCACTCAGGATGGGACTTGATTTAAGAATAGCATCCTGGAAGATGTAATTAGTTAGGTTAAGATGAAGTCATGCTGGAGTAGGGTTGGCACCCAATCCTATTGGGAATTTGGACACAGGGAACACACAGGAGAATGCCATGTGGGGATGAAGGCAGAGCTCAGAGTGATGCTTCCACAGGAACACCAAAGACTGCCAGCAAACCACCATTAGCTAGAAGAGAGGCCTGGAACAGATCCTAACACAGCCCTCAGAGGAAACCACGCTGTCAACACCTGCCTTGCAGACTTCTTATCTCCAGAACTGGGAGACAAAACGTTTCTGTTAGGTCACCTAGTTTGTGCTACTCTGCTATGGCAAAGTTAGCCCTAGCAAACTAATGCAGCCTCCACTTTCTCACCCGAGAAGGGGGAATGTAGATTGACGGTTTCCTTCCAGCTCTAAGCTTTTATGACATATTATTTCCTGATCTAAGTTTCTATGACCGTTATTTCAGGAGTCCTAGGAACATGGATTAATATTTAATTTCATGCATGTTTTAAACATTCCTTTTGCATCATGTTTGTTTGTTTGTTTATTTATTTATTTGAGATGGAGTCTTGCTCTGTCACCCAGGCTGGAGTGCAGTAGCACGATCTCAGCTCACTGCAACCTCCGCCTCCCAGGTTCAAGCGATTCTCCTGACTCAGTCTCCCAAATAGCTGGTATTATAAGCACCTGCCACCACACCCGGCTAATTTTTGTATCTTTAGTAGAGACAGAGTTTCACTATCTTGGCTAGGCTGGTCTTGAATTCCTGACCTCATGATCCTCCCACCTTGGCCTTCCAAAGTGTTGACATTACAGTCATGAGCCACCGCACCGCCCTCATTATGTTTAAATTCTATGAAATAAACAAGTTCACGTCTGAAAAGCTTCCGTTCTGAGCTGCACTTACTTGTTATATAAGACGATGTCCGGCCTCCACACGAGGTCACTGGGGATCCTGATGGAGTCTAGGCCATCGTACTGATCTCGGTCCCAGGTGAGATAGGCATCATGCCAGATTTGGCGGATCCACAAATAAGCAGTCAGAATTTGGTTTCTTTCATCCTACACAATGAATCCAGATGTAACTTTACCTAGCAGACACTTGAAATGTCTTCCATTGATAGGACACTTGTTCTTTACAATAGGGATTTCACAAACACTTGTCTATTTTCAATAAGTGAGAGCTTTATTATTCTATCCCCTTGATTGATTACCAAGATCATATTTTTTTTCGTCTTAGATTTAGTGTTCAGAATGTGAAGTGGACAAATATTTAAGTCTTCATATCTTTGCATGGATCAACTGCCCATATTTTCTGAAAATTGATCAATGAACTGCATACTTGAAAGCAAAAGTCAGGGAATAACAATGTGCAGAAGAAAAATCTTTCAAGTTTCTAACATTGTGTAATTAAACATATAGAAGCACTAATAAGCTATGCCATCTTAAAACACTACCTTTTTTAAAAATTTGAGATTAAATTCACATTACAACTCCCCATTTTAATCATTTTAGAAGGGGACATTTTAGAAGGCTTCCAATAGACTCACAATGTTGTGCAACCATCACCACTATCTGAGTCAAGACCATTTCCTCCTCTGCAAAGAAACCCCATCATCATTAAGAACTTACTGGCCATTTTCCCCTTCCTCCCTGCAGACCCTAGTGACTTCTATGCTGTTTTCTGTCTCTACGGATTCACCCACTTTGGACATTTCACATAAATGACAGCATATAGTATGTAACCCCACTTTCTTTACATTATCTAAGACTGTTACAGTTAACATCCAGATTAGGTAACACTTCATGAAATTAGCTACTTTTGTAGAAAGCTTCCTTTTCCCTGCATTCTCTTCTCCCATCAGTTTGCATACGGAGCTGTCATTCCCTCTCAAATTCCCTGTTAAGATATTCTCCTCAGAAAGCATGGTTGTTTATCCTCTAAGAATCATTCCAAAGAGTCAGCACCATATGTTACTCACCATATCCTTAATCTGAGAGAGTGTAATCTGCAGCGTGACATTCAGGACTTTATCTGTATCTTCCACTGGACGCAGAGCATTGGAATAATCTTCAAAAAGGTCATTAAACAACTTCTGAGCATATTTTCCATCTGCCGTCTCTACAGCTGCTCAACAAGAGGGATCTGGATCAACATTCAGAGTGTTGTGTGTATTTCAAGACAAAGAACGCGAGACCGAGGTCTTAAATGGGGGCTGGCCCAGGGCTGGTGAGGGACAAGCTTTGGGTGGATGGATGAGTTGCTTTTCTGGCGTGCCCTACCAAGATTAGAGTCAGTAGGAAGCACCGAACACTTCCAGGCGGTTGAATCATCTGTCTTCCCTGCCCTGCCCCACCTCCCCTCAAAGCAATAGCCCCAGATGAGACAAGACCGTTACATGTCACCAGCCTCTCACCTCTCAGTCTGGAAGCAGCAAAGTAAATCCAGCAAAAGGAGATGCAGGAATGGGACCAGTTCATGTTTCTCCTTATCCTCTATAATAAAGTCTCAGCCAGGCCGTGTGGTCTTCTACTTCCCCCTATGAATGCAAAGGATCTGAGCACAAGGAGCCCACACCGCCGCAGTCTTATGGTGACAGCTGGAGAGCTCAGGCTTGCATTGCACGCAGGACCCAGATCCTGAGATCCAGGACTGGCCTGCCCTCCCTCCCCTCTAGTAATTTGAGACTGGCAGCTCCAGTGTCTAACTTGTCGGGAACCCAGGGGGTGTTAGGTCCAGCAGTGCTGTTCTGGGTTGGGGGGCTGCGGCATCTCAGTTGAGGGTCCCTAGCCACCCTCACCGGAAACAACCAGACAGAAGAGGAGGTAGATGCAGGCAGCAGAGGTATGCCTGACACACCAGAGACTCCATCTAAGTAGAATGGGAGCTTTCTACACCCACCACGAGCAGATTCAGCCTGAGTCCAGGGACTAAGGGAAGCTCAACAGATTGCGCCGTGGAACCGCCATCCAGAAAGGCTCTATGAGCTTTCAGCAGCATTGAAGAGGGAAGGAGACACCTTTCTACGATCCCCAGAATATATTGGCATTTGGATTTTTTCTCTGCCTCAAATTCTGATCCCTCCTGCAGCTGTCTCACTGGGCACGGATCTTACATAGTAAATGTTTATGAGTACATGTGTGAGGGGGTGTGCTGGATGAGTGGGTATTCACTCGCTTAGGAAGCAGCAGTACTGTGAGTTGAATTTGGGCTTGACCGCCTGGGTTTGACTGCCAGCTCACACCCTGACTAGCTCTATTATTCTGGATAAGTCACCTAACCTCTCTGAGCCTTCCAGAACTACAGACTGGGGAAAATAATATTTCCTCTCTCTAGAGATACTGAGATAACTGTATGTGAAAGCACTTTCTACATGTCAGTAATTTTCATCTTTGATCAGCTTTGCAGATCCAGAATTTCTATATTTACCAACTCACCCAGGGTTTACCAGCTCGAAAAAAAAAAAAATTAAAAACAGGTTCAAAGGCTGACCAGATCAGCATGAGAATAATCACAACCAATGGTGATATGACTAATGATGATACTCTGCATTTGAATGCTACTTTATATAAAATGTCACAGTCACTTCTCATGTGTGATATAATTTTACTCCTATAGAAAAGTGTCCATTTTCAATTGCTACTTAGTCTGGAAACTCATATCTGTGCCTCCTCTTGCTGGGGAAACTGCTTTGGAAAACCATATTAAGATAGTTTGGTTCCCTGGAATTGGAGCAAGGAAATTGGATAGCTCTGTTTCATCAGGTTTCAGCCGCCTGATGAGTCATCCCATTCCTCTTCGGGAATGTATCCTCTGAGTGTAACAGACACTCAAGCCATCGGCGAAGTGTTTCTTAATTGCTTATCCCCTTGTGTTGATTGTGAAGACATTATTTTTCTGATGCCCCTAGTCTGGCTGACTCATCAAATGACACAATTCCGGTGCCTACACTCAGGCCTCCTTCAACAAACCATCCACTGCAGAATCTCAGAGCCAGAAGGTACTTTTGAAATGGAGTTAAGGCCTCATTTCCACACAAGGAAACTGAGGCCCAGGGATGCAGAGAGGCTTCCCTCCGGCAGTGATCGGCCAGAGGCAGGACCAGGCCGCCTGCCCCCGTCCACTGTGCTCACCCAGCACTAACAGTGCATCTCTTTCTTCTCATTGTCTTTCATCAATATGGCTTTTGCTGCCAGGTGGGTGGTAACTTCCTTGTGGGTAGAGGATCTTTACCTTATATGTCTTTGATTCCTTACAACACTCATAGGGTTGAATTGTAGTTGACATAGAGTCTACCTTGAATGGCGTCCCTTCCCTTACTATCCCTCTCCCCTCCCTTCAGGCTCCCTTCTCCCCTCAAGGACCTTTTAGGTTGAAGCTGCTGAGAACCTTTGCCCATTGGAGTCCAGTCTCCTGGGGGGTATCCCTGACTCCATTCCAGGAGGATGATAGCAATGCCCCCATTCCTTAGGATAGAGACCTGTCTGACAAAGAATCCTAGTGAATTCTGTGGCTAAAAGATCCTCTGTCAAGCAGCAGAGCAGGGATGGGTAGAACAAATATCTTCATTCTGCTACATGTGTTTCTTAAAACAAAAATTACAAGAGTCAAGCATAATATTTTGCAAAGGATTTTTTTTTTACCCACAAATGAATATAGCATGAATATTTGCTCCATTTCATTAAATACAGGATCAGAACATTTCCAACCTGTAAAGAGCTCTTCGAGGACCATCTAGCTGAGTTCATCATGTTACAGATGAAGAAACTGAGGAGTAGAGGTCAGAAGCCTTAGCAAGGACAGAAACCATTGCCCTGACTCTCAATCCAATGCTCCTTATACAACACCAGTGCAGCTGGTGAGGAAGCTCAGAGGAAATCAAGTTTCACGTGTGACTTTAGGCGGCTTGGGAATGCGCTTCCATCCAGCCAAGGGTGGGTGGGACCTCCATCTGCCCCACAGGAGGGTGGGTAACCAACTCTCCATCGAGAGCCATGCCAGAGACCCTCAACCTTTCCAGGAGCCTGGGCTCTTCGCAGAGGAGTGCTGTCCTAGGAGCTCAGAGCCATGACACCTGCTAACCAGTGCTTCACAGCTCACTGCAATGGCAGGAGATACCTCAGTGGGACTCTGTGCCCGAGGACCTAGTTCACTGCTACTTTCTAATTTGCTGGCTTTATCCTGGGTATGTGTCTTGAAATTGAAAAAAAAAAAAAAAAAAAAAAAAAAACAACAACGTCAAAGTTCCTTTAAAAGAGAACTACGTGAATTCCTTCACCTTACACCAGAGTTTGGGATAAGCGTTGGTAGTTAAGATGCAAAATCACTCCCAAAGGGCTGTCCATGGCACCACTCTTCAGACATTCCGGGGTTTACTTCTGTCTTTGTTTTATTAATCAAGAAAAGTGATATAATGTAGACTACAGACCCTGGAGTCGAACCGCTCGGATTCAAGTCCAGCCCCACCACTTACTAGCTGTGTAGCCTTGGGTAGATTATTTGACCTCAGTTTCTTCATGTGTAAAACGCAGGCAATTATAATAGTGCCCACCTCTTGGGGTTGTTTTGAGGACTAAATCAGTTAATGCATGTGAAACCCTAAAAACAGTGCTTAAACAACAGTGCTAGATAAATATCATTAAAGAGGAAAATGACATGTTAAGCATGACATCTGTAGCTCAATGCTGCTATTTATTTATTTTATTTATTTATTTTTCCTCTCCTCTTCCTCTCCCCCTTCCATCTCTCTCTCTGTCTCACTCACCCAGTCTCTCTCCTAACTTCTTGATAGACCTGGTTTGAGGATAATTGGTTTTTTGTTTGTTTGTTTGTTTGTTTAGAGACGGGGTCTTGCTATGTTGCCCAGGCTGGAGTGCAGTGGCTATTCACAGGTGCTATCCCACTACTGATCAGCATGGGAGTTTTGACCTGGGCTGGTTCACCCCTCCTTAGGCAACCTGGTGGTTCCCCACTCCCAGGAAGTCACCAAACTGATGCCAAACTTAGCGTGGACACCTGATCGGCACAGCGCACTACAGCCCAGAACTCCTGGGCTCAAATGATCCTCCCACCTCAGCCTCCCGAGTAGCTGGGACTACAGGCACACGCCACCACGCCCGGGAGGATGATTGTGTTATGTGACAAACAGCTTGTGCTATGGGTACGAGAATATTGGTCCTACTATTTTCTTGTCCTTTTTTATTGTGATGTTAATATTATTGTCAGTCCTCTGTGGATTTATTTATTTACTTACTTATTTCTGCAGTAGACTTTTTCATCCTCAAATCCACTTTGTGAGAGTTACCCAATCTAACTCCATCAGAGACTGGCAAACTCCCTGCAAAGAGCTAGATAGTAAATATTTTCAGCTTGGCAGGCCATATGGTCTCTGTAGCAACTACTCTTCTCTGCTGTTGTACTGTGAAAGCAGCCATAGGCAAAATGAATGTGTGGCTGTGTTCCAATAAAACTTTATTTACAAAAATAGGTGGCAGTGCATAGTGTGTTGACCCTTGATATAGACCAGCAGATCCATAAACCCACTTTGCTCATGAAAACTGCGATAGGGAACAGTGTTCCAGATGAAGAAGGGGCAAAGCCTGCAGGGAAAAGAGCTTGACGTGGGCAGATGTTTGGCGGGGCCAGGGCTGACTCCAGCTGCAGCTCAGCCAGTGAGATTCGAACTGCCTTCCAGCAGAGGCTCTGGGCATGAAAGAAGCCTTTCTAATAAACAGTCAGAAATATAAGAGAACTGGAGAGTAGGAAGCAGCCCTGTTGGATGCCTGGAGGCTGGGCAAGCCTCCTCACTTCCACAGGGTGACCGTCAGAGTGTCATGGGCAAGGAATTAGAGTTTCCAGATACAGGTGATGGTGGGAACGGTGGCTACGGCCAGGTCAGAGGCTGGCAGGGTGAGCAGCAGGGGAATGATTCAGAAGTTCAGGTGAGTCTCTGAATACAGACGGGCATGGAGGGCAGAGCTCAGGCAGTTTCACTGAGAGGTAAGAAGTACCAGAGCACTATTTTGTTTCTAGATTGCTAGAAATCCCAGCAACTGCACTCCCTCCTGCAATTGTACTCAAATCCATTGGCTTGGTGATCATTGTGCACTGTGGCCTCCAACTCCTGGGCTCAAGAGATCCTCCCATCTCAGCCTCCCAGGTAGCTGGTATTACAAGTGCACGCCACCAAGCCAAGACAGGTGATCATCTTAAAACACAAGTCTCATCATGTCACCCCTCTTCTTAGTGGATTCTCTCCAGTGGATTCTCACTTTATTTGGAATAAAAGCTCAGAACAAAAGGGATTCAGGAAGGGGAGGAAGGAGGACTTCTGGGCAAACGGGAACAGTGGGCTCAGAGCTCATTATGGTATGGGCACCAAAAGGTGATGACACTAGGTATGGAGCCGATTCTCCTTCTGTGACCTCACGTGTCTGTGTCTCACTGTTGTCCCACTGTGTTCTGGCTCTGTCAGTGGTGTGTAGCGGACTGGAAAAGTGTTCTGAGTGAAACCCAGCGGGACAGTCTCTCTTGGTGCTTCTGGGTATGGTGGAGGAAACGTCCCGCTCTTCAGCTTTCCCAACCATGACTTAAAACAGACCCAACTCCTGAGCATCCTCCTCGCCTCCTCCCCCTCACACCCATACGTTAGTCTACTGGGACTCCTGCAACAAAATACCATAAACCAGGTGAATCACACAACATAAATTTCATTTCTCACAGTCCTGCCTCCACGCCTGAGGACCAGCTCATCCAAGAATCAGCTGGAAGTCCAGACCAAGGTGTGGGCAGGGCTGGTTTCTCCCGAGGCCTTTCTCCTTGGCTTGCAGATGGCTGTCTTCTTAT